ATATGTACTGAGGATTTCAGATTTTTCTGCAGCATTCCAGATTTTTGGTGACCTAACTTAAAATGGTCAAAGCTTATATGGTCTTAGTTTTCCATTTTTATCTCCGCACCCAGTATGAAACAGAAGCTCCACGGAATAGTATTTGAAAGCGAAAGACTTATTCTTTCTAATAAAATTACAAGCAAGCAAATCCGTTGAAATTTCGCGGAGTTACAAATTTTTGAAAATGAAATGACAGAACTTTTGCAACAACCTAATATATACAGGGTGTCCCAAAAAATGTTTCGAACGTTTGATCGTTAATATCTCTCTTCCCAAGAAGTCTTTTGCCTTGCTTCAGGTGTTTTGTAGAGCTGGCTTCAACTTATATTTGCATTACAAAACGAATCACCCATCTCTCTTCATTACTGTAGGATTACGGTAGAAACTTCAAAGAGGGTTTTGAGACATGAAAGGCCATATTTTGCCTCAAAAAAGAAACAAAACAGCCAAAACTTTTACACTAGGCTAATTAGAGTTGCTGATTACAACTGTAAAGTTCCAACTTGTTATGATGCTTCATTGAAGAGTTATGCCAGGTAAGAGGTAGCGGCCATTTTTTCAATGTTCTTGAAAAGTGCGATTAAACCGTTTAGAAAGCTTCGTAATCTTGTGAATAGTTTAGCATTGAACTCAGCGTCCATAAAAACCCTATTACATATGTTTTCACATTATTTTGAAAATTTTTGAAAAGGCAGCTTTTTCCATATTGACACCATATGTTTCAAGTTTCTACCGTAATCCTACAGTAATGAAGATAGATGGGTGATTCTTTTTATAATGCAAATCTAAGTTGAAGCCAGCTCTACAAAACGGTACCTGAAGCAAGGCAAAAGACTTCTTGGGAAGAGAGATATTAACGATCAAACGTTCGAAACATTTTTTTGGGACACCCTGTATATATTAGGTCATTCCGAAAGTAATTTCGCTTTTTTCGAACGGACGCCACATAGGATGGAACAAAGATTTCTGAGAGGTCTTGCAGGCATTCGATGCAGAATTTCATTCTCTTTCTAAAGGTTATGTAACTGTTGCAAAACAGTCAACGAGCTTTCAGAAAATAACCAGAACCTGCAACCCATGCTTTTTGAGATGGTCAAGTTTTATGATTTTTTAAAACTTTCATATCAATTCTCAGAAGGATTGCAAGTGATGATTCGATAGAGTAAACCTCATAGAACACAGTACTACTTTTTTCTCTTCCTCGTATCTTGCCGTAATTTTTCAAAAGATTTTTAACAGAACCATCGGATTTTGGCAGGCCCACCTCAGCCACAATCGCATCAAACATCATAATTTTCGGATTTTGAGACTACCAAGACAGTATTATGAGTCAGCATGCATTTTACAAAGCACATGAGAGTTTACGGGTTCGAAATATCAAATTTCGACTTTTTCGGGTACAGCATGGGGCTCGCTAAAGAAATGAGTTATGATGATTTTATCCTCGGAAACTAAGCGAATCGGAAACAAAAAACACCTGTTAGAAAGAGGAGAAAATGCTGCATCGAATAGTGCGCGAGCTGCTCTTCTTTTGATGTTCTACGAGGATTTAGCTGCCCAAGTATAGAAATCGTTCACATCAGTTAAAATTCTGTTAAAAATGTATGACAAGCTATGGAAAGGAGAAAAAAGTAGTACTTTATTCTATAAGATTTACTCTATCGAATCATTACTTGCAATCCTTCTGAGGATTGATACGAAAGTTTTAAAAAATCATAAAACTTGACCATCTCAAAAAGCATGGGTTGCAGGTTTTGGTTATTTTCTGAAAGCTCATTGACTGTTTTGCAACATTTGCATAATCATTAGAAAGATAATAAAATTCTGCATCGAATGCTACCAAGATCTTTTAGAAATCTTTGTTCCATCGTATGTGGCGTCCGTTCGAAAAAAGCGAAATTACTTTCGGAATGACCTAACATATATATTTATATTTATATATTTATGTATTTATATATTTATATATTTATGTATAAATACTTGTTAAAAAGGAATATTTCATATAATATTTTTTTTAATATTCAATATCAAAAATATTCTCTTAGATTGAAGGATTTCGGCTGAGAGCCAGCTTCAGAGACCTGAATTTTCACTGGAATTTCCAGCATTTACTACCCTTTGCTTCAACCAGATCGGTGGAAGGCGGGACTCGTGACTTAAGTTAAGATAGATATTGATCAGAGAGCATGTTCGCGAGGGAGGCGCAGACTGCGTCGAGGACGCTAGCAGTCGCCTCCTTACAATTAGTCATGAAGCCCCGCTTTCAGCAACCGACGTTGAAGCAAAGGGTACGTTCCAAAACAGGCTCTCTGGAGGGTGGGGTTTGAATTGTCGTAATGCCTTACGAGGGAACGAACCCAACTTAAGGTGGCGAATTGGAATGAACCGCATACCACTAGATGAGTCTTGATGAGCTGATTCCAAATCTACCTTCCATATCTGCGACAACGTTATTTACAAAAAGTTATGAGCGGTTGAAAATGTGAAGTTATTGGGGTTTCAATGCATAATGTGCTTCAAAATCCAACTTGAAAGTGCACGACTAGCATGATATTGAGTGTACTGATTTCACGGAATGCTCACATTCTAAAGAAACACAAATAAGTGTTTCTGAACAACTAATTTTTGAGAAATGGCGCTGTGTACTTGCCAAATTTGGATTTTTCATTGCTTATAGCTTTTACCAGAGAGCATTAGTTGCTTTCTAGCTGTTCAAAAACACTTATTTGCGTGACTCTCTCCTGCAAGCACTTCTCGCGTCAAGCTAATCAGGCTCGGATTGCTAAGTTCCATCCCCCGGCGATGATTGGCAAACGTTTTAGTATCGTACCAGTAGTCGAGGAGTGCTTTGAAGAACTTTGTTAGAGGACTGAACATGTTTGAGCTGATTTCGGCGGTTTTGCTCTTTCGTCTTTGACGCCTTAATGTCCAATTAGTCACATCCGCAATATATCGAAGGTCTTCGAGTTAATCACCTGATCTTGCTCTGTTTCTCATGTAGCAGCTCCTTTTTTTCAAAGTACATTAGGTGAGACTCCAAATTTATTCGCTTATTGCGTAAGTTGAGACACCATTGACGTCACTTTCTTACAGCGCATACGTACAATCACGCTTACCGCATGTTCATTTACGCTTCCTCATTATGCATGATTAGCAGGAAAACTGTAATGAAAAGCTGGGCGATTCGAGTGTTATTGTTCTTCTTCATTACAAGCCATGTACTCAGACTGACCCACTGCTAGCATAAGAACATATTCTTCATCTAATGGACTGAGAGCAGAAGATACTTACTTGCTACTTACAATGAAATCAGAACAATAGCGACTGAAAGAAGCTTAATAAGTAGTAAATCGGTCCTAAAGCGGTCATCCGTGCCGTTTTTCAGACCCATGCTCAAATCACTTAAAATGATGATAGACAAACGCTTCAAACAATCTTTGGTGCAGAATTTCTTCTTCTTTTTAACAGGCTATGTTTTTCACATAATTTCTTCGGTGTCCGCTCTAATAGTCATCAGTTTCGCCGCCTATTTTTTTGGCTATTTTTTGAAGTTCTTACCTCCGATTTTTGAACTGTCCTCAATTGGATAGAATAATTATGCAATGCAAAATAATTTTCTGGCATCTCTAACTGGCTTCTCAAAGTTTTTGAGAATATTTTCCCGATTCAATTTCCATATTTTGGATCCTCAGAGTATAATAAACTACAAGCAATCAAGGTGTTATCAAATGCAACTTTCTTTCCTTTGTTCGGATAGACTTTTTTCCTTAGTGACTGTAATAGTTGAGATAAGATTATCATGAATCTTGTTTCCAGAGTCGTCTCGGGCTGTACCCAAAAAACTTTTTCGATATTTTGGATTTCTGAACGCTCACTTGCTTTTACTTGCTCAAATTCCGAAGATTTACCAGTGTTCAAAGCGGTTGTGCAGCTTGCGACTTCGCAAAAGTGAAGGATTTTGAGAAAATACTTCAAGCACTTCAAGTACCAATAAAAAGGTACTAAAAAGGCCAAAAGAGTTGATTGTTTTAAATATTGTCTATTCTATCCAGCTGCTGTCAGAGTTAGTTGAAAAATTAGTTGAAAAAAGAATTTTCTAGAAAATAGCCAAATTCAAGATGGGTTGGAGATTCTGTGGCTTATTTGAGCCGACATCAAAGTAATCTGAATAGAAGCGTAACCGTGGGAAAGGAGAATAAATTCTGCAGGTGTCTCAGTAAATGTGCACACTTTTGTTCGTCAATAGCTCTCTTGCGGTGATGCGTTTGGTAAACTCTACCATTCTGTAGAGCTGGTTTCAGCATTTACAGCATGGAGCAAATCGCCAATCTTTCTTCACTATTGTAGGATTACCGTAAAAACTACGGGAATGACTCTAGGCCAGGAAAAAATTCCCCCCCCCCCCCCCGCCGAAAATCCTGGGTACGCTACTGTTAAATGACCCTCTTCAAGTGGTGTGTGGGTCTTAGCACAAAAGTTTTCAAAGTTCCTGCCATGGTCTGAGAAAGCTTTTGGGCTTTTGGCAACTTTACGTGATCCGGATGACTTCAGCTAAATTTGATATAGCACTTCAAAAGGCCAAAAATGTACGGCTTTTATTTTTAGAAAAATATGTCAATTACTACTACCGTTCGCTATTTTCAATATTAGGTTGATTGCACTATTGTGCTACCTCGTTTTTAAGGTTTGATAGAACTAGGCGTTTCTATAGTTTGATAGAACCAGAGCTTTTCTGAAACTTAGAGGAAATATTAGTTATTAGCGTTTGCAGCTTATTTGGTGCAAAATTACGTTTTAACTTAGCAATTTGAAAAAAGTGAAGTTTTGGTCAAAATGCCTCATCAAATTAGATGAAGCACAAAGTGCATTACTGACTGATGTCATATTCTTAATTTTGACAACTTTCTTATGGAATCTTTCTTCTCAAACTATTCTTCTTTAGAGACTGAACATTGCAGATGAACCTTGGGATCACGAAAGTGCTTTGATAACCAGTGAACAAGTCATCGAATCACATCTGGAGAAACGGAAGAAAAGTGTAGAGCATGAGTATCGTGTTCATCTACGTCAACTTCAAGAAATTGCAACTAGCTTAAATCAATCTATCCAAACCTTAATTTAGAAAAATTTAATGAATTTAAGTTCGCCTTATCAATCTGTTCATTATAAAGCTTGATAAACATAAACAAGTTGATAAACAAGTTGTAAAAACGTTATTTTTTATTCTAGCTTTTGGCTTCTGAAAGCTATCATCAGTTTCTACTTTGATTATGCTGACTAGAAAGCTGCATTTTAGAACGACTCTTTAAAGTCAAGGATAAACGAATATGACATAAATGACTGATAACAAATGTGTTTGCTCCACGAAACGGCTTCTTGTAAAAATCAAATAGCTGTTTTTGGGGCCAAATTAATGATACCGAAACAATTGGGTTGGGTTTCCTTTAGTTTCGCAAGATTTCACGCAGTTCTCTTTGACTCTTTGACCTTTTCGAACATCTTCTCTATTGCAGTCAGTTATGCGTGGAGTATACGCGTAATTTTAAAGCCTATGCTCTTTCACCTCTTAGGGCCTAACGTAGATACTTCTCGGTCAAAAGTGCGTGAGTCTCGAATGCATAGGCGCGTAGCTTCTGTAAGTCGGCGCAAACGCGTAAAGTCTGGCCCCAAACAAAGTTCAAAGTTCGCTTACAACCAGTTTTCGAAGTCATTGCAATGCCAGATCGCGCAGCGACTGGAATCGCGTGAGGAAAGAGCAGTTGTGCTGGATGTCTGTTGGGAGTACCGTATTAGCGGAGCCACTATGCGCGATTCCAATCAAAGTTGACCAAGGGAACGAAGAAAAAGTGTGTTGGCGTCCTAGGCCGATGCGTATAAATCTGGGTTAAACTTTCGAAAACCTTAGCTTCAAAGTTAACCTACTGAGAGTCGGAACATGAGAAGCGCCTTTTCTCTGCTCTAGCTTCTTCTCTTTAGATAATGGTAATTTCATTTGGTTGGGTTCGCAATAGGCCCACATACACAAGTAAACAGAGATAACCCATTAGCGTTATCTAACCTACAATGAACATTTATAACCAGCTCGTAGGAAGTTAGTTATCTATTTCCTAAGAACTACAAAAACCTGGGATTTGTGAAAAAAAATAAAAATCACAGCACTCCATGAGTTCGCCGAACTTTGGTTGCATCGCCATTCTTGCTTCGGAGTGACGAAATCCCAATTTAAAGGCCCATTCAACTCAGCTCGACGAAATACATCAATTAAAATGGTCATTGTGTAATGATTCGACACTCCAGTAACCTACCGTAAGCAGAAAAGCTGGAATGATCCTTGAAATTTGACCTACTATCATGTCCAAACAAGCAGCTCTGTACATCAAAGAATGCATCTTGTTGAGCTGAGCTGAGTCTCGTTCTTGGAATTAGAATTTGTTTACACCAAAGCATGACATGGATGCGATTAAAGTAAGCGAATTACGGCGGCGATAAATTTTTTTTCACAGATTACGGCTTTTGTACAACTCGATGAAATAAGTGGAACAAGATGAAATAGACTTAGGAAATTATTTCGCCATTCACGCAAAAGTTCTCTCAGTTAATTATAAGCCGAGCGAGGAACTCGCATAAGGAACAAACACGTCAGAGAAGCGAACCGAAAAAAAGAAACGGGGTACAGACTTACGAATCTCAACCACAACAACTCCACTGGTTTTTCAAAAAAAAGCACAACAAACAACCAATACAGCATGTTGTTTTTATCTCCCTTAGAATAAAAAAAAGCGGAGCATGGATTCATAAGAACTTGAGACTAAAACAAAGCAAAGCATATTAAAGCATAGGCACGGCACGGCGATGGCATCTCCAAAATTTATTGCTCAAGCACCAAGAAAAAAATGGTGAATAAGAAAAAAGCTCCTTGTGGAAAGCTTTGAAATCGTCTCTATTTAATCAGATACTATACTGAACAAAACCAATCTCTAGCTACTGAAAAACAATGCTTCAAAAGCATGGACGTCGCTTGAAAAGTCACCATCTCACTCTTCAAGCGACGTTCGTGCGGCCAGCCAGAGAATGTAGTAGCCTACTTAGATTATGTAGATGCAAAAATTACAAAAGTATTTTAACTAAGCCATGATTCATTGAGTTCGCTGCCACTCGCATCGCGCCAAACGCAACTAAACAAAATGTCGGTGTTATCATCAGAAAACATAAAATTACGCCACCGCCGTAATCAAATAAGACAAACGCATCCGTTCTTCCAACATTCACCAAGTGATAAGCTGAAGCAAAGGTTTTGCAATGCTGTTGGAATGCTGGAAGCGGAAGTCACATTGGAAAATGAATTGTTTCTACGAAGGCAAGTTGTCTTCAGCGATTTCAACTTCGTATTTTTCCCCTTTAATGCGAACCAGAGTATAACAAGTCAGTAATTGTAAGGTTGTACCTGCGTGACGGACAAGCAACAAGAATTTTCATCTAAAGTGTTGTTCAGCATCATCGACATAATTACCAGAAGTTTCAAACTGAGTTAAAGAACGATTATAAGGTGGGTGCGTGTTTCATGCAAGAGTGGAGAATCGGTTTATAGTCTGGGCCCCGGCTAGCTTCCCATAGGTACCTACGCGGCGCACGCGCAGCGGGCCGCTCGGCTTGCTGCTTCTCATTCCTCTTATGAGTAGCAAGCATTTCCATACATAATCGGAGTGAAATGAAGAGTGGAAATGTCCAAGCCTATCACGAAAGAAGCCTAGGCAAGAGTGTAATGAGTAAAACCTCTACTAATCGCGGATTCCAGTCAGTCGTCGCTGCAAGTGTGAGACGCTCCAATCATTGAAGAAGGTACTAAGTGAATCAAAAAGGACAAGCGTCACTGCCAACAATTTTCACATCTGTGTAGAAAAAAGACAAAAATGTAAGCTGGAACACGAGCACAATCAAAAAAGAAAGCACAATTTACTTATCGAAAGCTTTCTCGAGTCAGAAGCACCCACTATTCAAGAAACGTTTCTAATTGTACTCTCATTGTGTAAAAAAAATCCAATTGCGTTCTGCTTAGAAATGATGAAAATCCTCGTTAGTTGAAAAAAAAGAGAGAACTACTCAGAACAAAGGTGCTCGGAATTTCTGCACGTAAAAACACATTACAGGCTTTTGTCTATGGTTGCTGAACCTAAAATGGGGAGATTAGAGAGTAACAATACCAAACAGAACAAAAATCAAGAAATCTTTCAAACTAGGCTGAGTCGAGGAGCGCGTTGAAGGCGTGCGCTGCGGGTGCGTCGCGGTGGTACCTATGGGAAGCTGGCTGGGGCACCCACTATACCATACACACTCGCATTCAGACCAGACACAAGGATAACAACGGTATGCTCATAAAATGCTGAATTTGAAAGCCTACGCATGCACATACTCACACGTACACACACTAAACGGGCGCACACACAGGGGATCTCACACAAAAACTTGGAAAATTCTCAACATTAAGAGGTTGAAAATTTCAAATTTTGAAAAATCACTCATACAACTCAGGCATACACAAGCAAGCACACACAAGCCACACATGGGCGAAACCACACAGCAAAATACTTTAAAAAACCTAAAAATTGAGAAAGAACGGCTAACTTCCCCCACTCTCACATCTAAGCAAATTTTCATATCCAGACTGTTTCGAGGGTCATAAAAGTCTGCCGGGAGTACCAACTGCTTCTTGTTCTAACCTTCGTCGACTACGAGAAAGCCTTCGACAGCGTCGAAACCAATGCCATCCTGTTGGCGCTAGTCGATCAAGGAGTGGACCCAGCTTACGTGAGGACACTAGCCGACTGCTACAAGGACTCTACAACAGCGATGCAGCTATTCCATCGCCTCCTGACCATTCCAATTGGGAAGGGGGTTCGACAAGGCGACACTTTTTCGCCGAAGCTGTTCACCGCGGCATTGCAGTGGGTGATGCAATCACTGAACTGGGAAGAGAGAAGCATACGAGTTAATGGAGGATTCTTGTCCAACCTTCGTTTGCGGATGACATCGTTCTCTTCTCGAGCAGTAGCACTGAACCAGAGACGATGCTGAAGGAACTAAACGAAGTAGGGAAGAAGACTTAGTAGCATTCGATGCAGCATTTCATCCTCTTTCTAACTGTGATGAAACCGTTGCAGCGCACTCAAAGAGCATTTGGAAAATACCACAATCTCCGACCTATACCTTTTTGAGATTTTCAAGTTTTGTAATTTCTCTAAATTTTCACATCAATCCTCCGAAAAAGTGCAAGTAACATGTTTAAAAACAAACCCTACAGAATGTAAAGCAATTTTTTCTCTTATTTGAAGCGTGTCACACATTTTCAACAGAAATCTAACTGATGCTAGCGATTTCCGTACTTTGACAGCTAAATTCTAGTAGAACATTAAAGGAAAAGCAGCTCAGGCACTATTCGATGCAGCATTTTCTCAACTTCCTAATGAGTGTTTTTTTGTTTTCGATGTTTAGTTTTCGGGGATAAAACCATCATAACTCATTTTTTAGAGTCTCAGGCTACATTTGGAGAACTCGAATTTTATTATTTCGATCCGTAAACTCTCACTTGTTTTGTAAACTCACTACTAAATCATATACCATCCTGGAAGTTTCAAATTTTGAATAATTACCTTGTTTGATGCGATTATGGCTAACGTAGGCCTGCCAAAATTCGATGGTTTTATTCAAAAAATTTTTAGAAAAATACAGCAAGCTATGAAAAAGGGAAAAAAGCTGTACTGTATCCTATAGTGGCCGCATTCGTGAGCTTTCCGCGAGAACGTGCAAAAATGTTGAGGGCCTTTTGTGAAGGACCTCGTAGCCCGTAGGTACCTTCCGCTGAGAGAAAGTATCCCAAACTCGGGTAATTAAACCATCGGTGACACCCTCTGTTGTTACCCTTGCTCGGCTACGCCCGAAACTGCGTAATAAGAGTCAGAGCGCTTGCTGAAAATTTAGCCAGCTTGCTGAAAGAAATTATTTGACGGCTGCCAGCAGAAAATGCTGACTGCTTCCCGCTGGCAGAACATGCGACAGCAAAGGAAGTACCGCATGCTGAAGGTTTGGCCATGCCCCAAAATTCTGCTGACCGCCTGCAAGAAAACGTGAGTTTGCGAACCGCCTGCCCCCGGGCGATTGTCTAAGGCCCGTATGCACGTACATCCCCGCTGGGGAGGGATGGGGAACTGGGTCCCA